GGGAAAGGGAAAGGGAAAGGGAAAGGGAAAGGGAAAGGGAAAGGGAAAGGGAAAGGGAAAGGGAAAGGGAAAGGGAAAGGGAAAGGGAAAGGGAAAAGGTTGTTTCAGTAGAAAGAGGAGAAGGCAAAGAGCCCGAGGGGTCAGTGTCTTGGAAGGAGCTGAGTGAAGCTAATGTGAAGAGGCTGTAAGGGAAGGGAATTGGAAGTGGTGTGATGTGTAATTTCACGCAGTGTCAGACCATTTGTGTGTTGGGAGGTTTCTGCATGGAACGTGCTTTCTTCAAGGTACAGCCTGTCTAGCTTCTGTCTGCATTATTTCCCCAAGGAAGTGCTGAACTCGAAATGAGTCACTCCTCAAAAAAACAGACAAAACCACTTTCTTACTGGCTACTGAGGACAATACAGGACAAATAGTGTGGTTGAAATACTCCTAACTAAGTGAAATCATGCTTAAAATAATTTACTTAAAGCAATGGTCAGCCTGAGTCTCTTAGTTGAATCCGCATTTTATGTTTGAAGCCTTGAACAGAAGTGCTGTAGTGCTTAGCTATCCCAGGAAGAAATACTGCAATGATCAAATGCACAGAAGTGGATTTCCTCAAAGGATATTGCACTCTGTTTCTTAAGAAGTTAATTGCCTGCAACCAAAGTCCAAATCCATAAAGTTTCAGGGAAAAAAAGGGTTTTGTTGATTATTTTTAAGTAGCGTAGAACTATTAGAGATTGTCCGAAGGAAGGCTATGAAGATGGATGGTGAGGGGCCTAGAGGGCAAGATGTATGAGGAGCAGCTGAGGTCACTCGGTTTGCGCAGCGCAGAGCAGAGGAGCTGAGGGGAGGCCTGATGGCGGCTGCAGCTCCTCACAGGGAGCGCAGGGGCAGCGCTGAGCTCTGCTCTGTGTGACTCGGTGATCCCTATGTGTCTCTTACAACTCAGGCCACTCCAAAAATAATGCCTCCTATTTATTTCCATGGAAGCTACAACGGATGCCAGGAGCACAATAACTCTACTTGATAGTGAAAACTCACTATTATAACACTATTTTTCAACATTATCACCACCATTAGCAATGTATTTTCATTAAACATGAACAAGAGCTTTCTTGCCGTGCTTATAAAAATGTGCACAAAAGGAGGTGAACCACTACTTCACAGCTACAGTGATAGCGTCATTGCCAGGAAAATGCTGCCCACACAGTCCTATATTTTGGACTATATTTTATGGACTATATTTTGCCGTCTCCATTAAATAGCAGCCTTACTGCCCGCTGTATGAACACATCAGTAGCACTCTGGGCAAAGAGCAAAACTGCTGAAGGTACATACTCTGCAGTTACAGAAAGAAAAAAGAAAGGGAAGGGGAGGGGAGGGGAGGGGAGGGAAACAAGGAAAGGGAAACGAGAAAAGAGAAAAGAGAAAAAAAAAAGACAGTTCCCTTTCATCTCAGGAATTTGTAGCAAGGCCTTACTAATACAGGTGGGAATTAATCAACAGTTTTCACAGAATCATAGAATTGCAAAGCTTGGAAGGAACCTCAAAAGATCCTCGAGTCCAACTCCCTGCTAAAGCAGGTTCCCTACAATAGGTTGCACAGGTAGGCATCCAGATGGGTCCTGAATACAGGAGACCAGTTTTCTGGCACTGTAATTTGAGGAAATCTGTATCAATTTTAAAAGTTTCTTTGAAAGGGCACAAAAGGTCAGTGATGAGTAAAGTATTAGGGGATTTGAGGAGTGGGGCTTTTTATTACTTATTTTATTTTTACAATTTTGATGACTGTTGTAAAGTATTAGATTAGATTTGTTGGACCATCAAAAGAACTTGTTGACGTGACAGCTGAGTTGATACCATAGCTGACTAATAGAGTGTGATTTAGGAGAGTTGACTGTGTCCCATCTATAGAGGTGATTATTGCAGTCAGAAATTCTGACGTAATTTAAATTGGGTAACCAAGAAATAGTATGGAACTGGGTGGCAATTAGGACCTTTTTCTGTAGTAATTGGTAGGAATTATATCAGATTTATTCTTATCTCCTTTTTTTTTTTTTTTCTTACACAGTTGATACCAAAGGTTGGTTTATTTACAAAATATTAAAGAAAATATACTGATTATTTAAGAACTGTTCCTCCTTTGCTTGAACCGGAATATTAGTGCTTCTCAACCTCCGTGCTTTTTGTGAAATGTCTCTGAATCTTTTTTGTTCCACCTTCCACAAGTGAGAACTTCCGGAATAGCAATTTAAAAATCAGTGAGACAGTATCTGCCTGTAATTATATACAGCTATGTTTGTGAGGCTCCATTGCAAAAGTAATTGGAAAGATTGTAGCTGATACAGCTCCTCATACAAGTCCTTTCATAGCTGTTGCATAGTAGGGTTAGATATAATTTAATGAATTGTTTTAGAAAACAATAGAAAGAAACATTTTATGTAGCAGATCATTGCAGCACTTCCTCAAAAATGGAATGAGTGGAAACTTAATGACTTCTCCACACAAAGAGGCACAAGAACGCTTCTTGGGTAATCAAAGGAATACAACAGTGCGGGTTTGCCCTTAAAGTGTGTATGCAGGCTCTGATAAATCAACAGATGTGCCAGACAGAGTGACTTGTAGTCCTGAACTCCTTCCCACCAAGAATTAAGGGTCTTTGTTGCAGTGTTCCTTTAAAGATCAGTAAGGCATGTGACTTGAATAACAGTCATATGCACTGATGTTCATTTGCACCAATATATTTGTGTGTGAGGGACAAAGAAAGTGAATTTTCACATTCTGCCTCTGGGCACGGTTTTGGAACCCAGTCCCGATGCAGACCCTGCCCCAACTCCCAGAGGTCTCTGCACTGCCACCACCCCAGCCCCCTGCTCAGCATCCCTATGGAGCAGCCTGCCCTCGCTGCCCTCTGGCACCTGCATTGAAAGACAATCCCTGGGTATCTGTCCAGATAGCTCACTCTTTGTGCACAGACATGGATTTTCTTTTCTCACTGACATGGATGAGATGACACTCAGTGTTGTTGCCAACAAGATTTAGAAATTTGTTTTGCCACCAAGAAAGCCACCTGAGGTATTGAATTTTGTGGTGTCACTTGAAGTGGTATCTATCACTTGTGTAGAAAACTCAATTCTGGAGGTGGGTCTGTATAGTGGGGAAATATATGCTGCATATTATGGATGACCCTAATGGCAGAAAGGCAGAATGCTTTCAAGTTGCTCACTTTGCTTTGAAATGTCTGCCAACTGGTGCCAACTGAACTTTCAGTTTGAAAAGTCAGACAAACAGAACTGCAAAAAGAGCCACTGACCCTTGTCACCACCAAATGGGTTCAAGGCTACATTTGAAAAGGCATTTTCCATTAAAGTCATCTCTTCAGTTCAGTACTTTGCCACAATTATTTGCCAGAGGACTCTGGCTGTGTTTATCTTCAATATTATTAGCTTCAATGCACTCGAGTGCAAACATTTTAGCTGAGTGTCTGGTCGAAGGACTAGCTTCTTAATCTATGAAACCCCACACCAGTGCATCAACATAAGCCACAGGTGGAGGATATTTGGAAATTAATGATGATCTGTAGATTTGAATTTGTCAGATTAACACTTGTGATGCCAGCTGGAAATTAAAACATGCTTTTAGTACTATTTATATGTAAATTAGGCAATTATCCTTTAAAAAAAAAAAAATACCAAATTTGATCAATAATTAACTTAGGTTATTTTCATCCAGAAAGAAGCATTTCATTTCATTTATATTATTCTTGTTCACAGGACATAGATGCAAGGAGCTCTATTCACATATTCATAAGAGGTTCAGCATCCACTAGGAAAGGAGAAAACTATTCAAGATTTAAAACCCATGTGCTTCTAAGAAGAGCAATTATTCTTGACATCAGAAATAAATATTTGTTTTGCTTGAACCCTCCAAAATAATTTGTCTTGGTTTTTTTTGTTGTTCCTGTTGATTTTTATTTTACCAATAGGTGTAAAGATGTACAGAAGACGTACAGTTTTAATCGTGACTATAATAATCAATTCACTATTATTATAAAAGTATTATGAATAACTTCGAACCTTTTTGTACTCTTGGCTTGTAAGAAAGATCTGTAGTGAAGGACAGGCACTTCATGCCTTTGCGTAAATTGTACTCATTGCCTAATTAATCATATCCTTCATTATATCCACTAAGGGAAAAAAAAAAAAAGGAAAAAAAACCATGCTAATCTAACCTATATTCTAATGTATACCCATATAATTATAAATTAAGACCATCTATTGATTAAGGGCTTGTATATGAAAGCACAAACACTTCTAAGTTTACTTTCTTGTGCAGGCCAATTGAATTAACTTAACTGCACTTTTGAATAATAAAAATGTACATAAGTAGGACCAGGAACAATGCATGTAAATTCATTAAAAAAAAAAAACAAAAAACAGAGGTAACTGCTCACTTGAGAAAGCAGTCTAAAAAAAAAAAAAAAAAAAAAAAAAAACAGGAAAATCCTATTTCTCTAATAAAATCTCCAAAAGTTGCAAAATGTTGACAATTTAGCTTTGCAACAGTCTACATTGAGACTAAAATAGTGGCTTCTGTATGTACATTTTGAATTATTTAGTTAATAAATAGTTTATTTTTCCTTGCTGAATGAATGCTGTGCAAGTTATTCCTGAAAAAAAAAAAAGAAATATACATAAAATAATGCTTCATAAATTCTGCTATTTATTCTTAGGTCAGTTTCTTCAGAATATATTTAGATCTGCGTATTGGTGGCACAGTACTGAATCATTTCACAAAAAATTAATTCTTTTTCTTTTTCTTTGCAGTTCAACAGAAGAGCAGTTTCACTGGCAAACACAAGGTAATAAACTTATCATTAGAGTATTACATATATTCTCTCCCATAAAGCTTGCTTCCCAAATAAGGTAGAGTGGAGAACAGCAATGCTTTTATGCACTTGTTGGGTGTTTTCTAGTGTTTGAAAACTCTGCTGAAAAAATTGTAGAACTTGGCAAAAGTGGTTAGGGTTGGCAAATGGAGCATCTACAGAGATAGAATGAAGCAAAGTTTTGGGAGAGGGCACTGGTCTCTAGGTTTTTCTTAAGATAAGACCTGTGCTTTCTTAGTTTGCTTTTATTAATCCAAAGCCAAACTGTTAAAGGGCAGCATAACTCTCCTGGATTAATGTGGCCAGCCTGCTCTGAATGTGCCATTTGGGTGTTCATTCCTTCATCGGCTATAACTGATATATGTACGTGATAGCATGGAACTAGTTTTATCTTTTGCTTTTCTTATACTTTTTTATGTTAATGTTACTACAGATGGTCAGAAGGATATAGAAGATGAGCTCACTACAGGTCTGGAGCTGGTGGACTCCTGCATTAGATCACTGCAAGAATCAGGGATACTTGATCCACAGGACTATTCAGCCAGTGAAAGTAAGTTGCTAAAAATGTGCTTTTCAGAACCCACAGTTATTTGTAATACTTCATGCTTTAAAACTGAATACATATATTAGAATGTTTTTCTTATTATTTTCTCAAATCAGCAGAAGACAGTGTAGCTGGGAGCAGGAAAATTGGCTCCCTGCATTTCCAATTTGATTTCTGATTTTCTTTATAATTGAGAAAATTTCACTGGCAGTCTGTGGGCAGAAGCCCCGTGGAATGCATTTTAAGGAATACATTTAGAAATTGCAGTGTGGCCATACTGTATTACAAGGTCATGACACAAGACTTCAACATCATCACTACAAAAGCATCTTTAAAGCAGCACTGCTTCAGTATGCAAAAGTAGTAATTGAAATGTGAGGTGGTGTGATGTCACTTGTTAGCTAGTAGCTGATAGTCTCGAGGACCAACATTTTCAAATGGATAAATGGGCCATAATTGTTGAACTATTTAAAGATGATGCACAGAACACCACTAGCAGCAAGAAAGATGAGACTTTTTCTCAGATGTTGGTTCAGTGGTCATTTGGTAGCTGTTCTTGTTTGCAGAAGAGTGCTTTGAGTAGATAGATCCTCTGCTAGGATCAGCAGCTGGAGAAGTGAATCAAAGCTGCAGTGAGTAAAGAACAGGGACGTGCCGCCCAGTGTATTTGTAGAGCACATATCTACAAATGCATGTGCTCCGAAGTCACAGGCACTCAAACAAAGCTTTCCAACAGGCTGACAAGTCTGAGATGAGAGGTAATGGTGGGCACTGAAGATGCAAATCAGTTCCTTATTTTCCTTTGCTTTTCCTCAGTCTCCTTTCTGATACACTGTTGCCGTGTGCCACAAACTATACACACTTTCCTATCACTCCTACTGCTGCTCCTGATGTTACCTACGCTTTTCAATTTTCTCTTTTATTCCTCTATATGTCTTCCCCTCTGCTCCCTTGAGCCATTTTTGTCTTTTTCAGTCCCTTGCTGCTTAGTACCCTGTGACTGAGACACATCTTTCAGGGTGGTTGCCCAAATTCAGCTTTCTTAAAACCAAAGGGAATGATTTCCCTTTCCTATGGAAAGGCTAATGGAATGTGACAGCAGCCTTCTGCAAAGCAATGGTGAGTTGTCACCTGAAATGTCATCATTTCAAGTGAAAGCAAAGCAGTGCAAGGCTGAATGCAGAATTTTAATTTATCGTAACATTTTTCATTATTTTAAAACAAGATTTGCAATCAGATTCAAAGTTGACAGTCCTGGGACAGTAGATAGTGTTTCACTTTTCATGTACACAAGATTTCTGGGCCCACAGCATCACTAACAGTTTTGGTAAGATGCTCTTTGACCTGAGAAAAATTTTCTGTAGGGAAAGCATGATACAACAGTTTAAGCCCTTATAAGTTGCCCTGAGTTTTCCACCTCTTACTCTATTGTATTCAGAAGTGTATTCAGAGTGAGAAGAAACAGACTGAATGACTGATCACAATTGTTTTCATACATTAGATAGAAAAATGAATCTGCATGGACTGCAATAGGGAAGGTTGAAAGCCAGAAGCTCCTATGGGTGGGCATTGCAGAAACTGGATGAAGAGAGGAAAACTAAGAAAAATGTTAGGGAAGGATGAGGATAGTAGGTAGAAAGAAATCTGGATAGGTGAAGGTAACTGCTATTCAAACAAATTTCTGAGGAGTGTCACAGAAATATAGGAATCAAGTAGGAATGTGGTGAAACTAGATTGCTGTTTGCTATTTATGGTTGTTAATTAAGAATCAGATATATATGCTAAAGCCAACAGTTGCAGTTAATCGATCATAAATGCAGGATGTCATACACTGGATTTTTCTTTTCGTTTGGGAGTCTGTTTTCAATTTATAATAAAATTTAACAGACACATCAGTTAAAATGCTATTCTGTTTGCAAAGTTAAAAGCACCATTATCAAGACTGTGCAGAATATTTTTTTTTCTTGTGACTGTACTCTACAGCAATTATTATCATATTTTGTTTTGTACATTTTCTGTCAATGCTTCATTTACCCTAAAGCTAAGGTTTAGATTGTGCAGTAACAGATTGGCCATGAGCCAGCAGTGTGCCTTTGTGACCAAGAAGGCCAGTGGTATCCTGAAGTGCATTAAAAAGAGTGTGGCCAGCAGGTCAAGGGCAGTCTCCCTCTCTACTCTGCACTGGTGAGGCTGCATTTAAACTACTTTGTCCACTTTGGGTTTGAAAAAGACAGGGATCCAGGAATCCAGTGAAGGGCCACAACAATGGTAAGGGGCCTGGAGCATCTCCTCTATAAGGAATGGCTTGGTAACCTGGTCTCTTCAGCCTAAGGAAGAGAAGACTGAGAAGGGATCTAAGAAATGTTTATAAATACCTAAAGGGAAGCTGGAAGGCAAGGCTGGATGAGGCCAGCCTCTTCTTGGTGATGCAACAGGGCAAGGAGCAATGGTCTAACTCTTGAACGTAGGAAGTTGTATACTAACATGTGGGAGAATTTCCTTGTGGTAAGGGTGACAGAGCACTGGAACAGGTTGTCCAGAGAGGTTGTGGAGTCTCCTTCTATGGAGATATTTAAGACTTGTGTAGATGCTTACCTGTGTGACTTACTGTAGGGTACCTGCTGTAGCAGGGGGTTGGGTTTGATGGTCTCTTGAGGTCCCTCCCAACCCCTGCGATTCTATCATTCTGTGATTTCATTTTGAGCACTGTTAACTTCTCTACACAATGAGAACATAGATATTAAATGAAAACAAAAATTACGTATTTAATAGTTCCGCTTCTCACTTAAAGCTGATTTTTATCTCTCCTTTGCATCCTAAAGTTCTGATGTGATAGTTAGGAAATCATTCAAGTTACCTTTTTCCAGTACATAGTTTTGTATGTTAATGGTTCATCCACAGGTGTGTTGAGAACAAACACATCTAGTTGAACTGTGGTAGCAGTGTCTCAATTATACAAAAAGTTATACGAAGGGAAATCTAGGACTTACTCTGGAGTATTTCACAGTATTTGCATTTCATAGACAATTTTCATTGTAATTCATTCAGTTTCTACATAGGAAGTGAGATAAACGTCTCACTTCATAAAAAGCATTGTTTGTGATGCATTGGAACTTGAATATTGAGTGTCACAGGGTAATCCACGAGAGTTTTTTTCCTTTGTGTTGGACCATTTTCAAGGAAGGCCCAAGGTGGCATGATGAAGAATGAGGCAATCATGCAACACTGAATAGGTTTGCATTTTTGTGTGCACTGTCCATAAGACAAGAAGGGAGAGGAAGAGTGATAATTCAGAAAAATCATCAGTGGGTGCCATTTCTTAGCTTTTGTAGTCTAGAATTTACAATTTTACCTGAATTTCCTTCTGCATTTTGAATGCTTAGCTGTATTTTATGTCACTAGGTTAACTGTGAGGAGAACATTTCTAGCCTGCTGCGTCAGTTCTAGCCTAGTTGAGGCTGATTTTTGAAATCATGATATGAAAGCTTCCCCAGGGATGTGACCACAGCTTCTTTTCCCGAACTGCGTGCACCTAGTGTAACAAGTTAATCTGTGGGTAGCTTTACCTTTGAAGAAGATTAGTGTTTCTGTAGTCAGAATCCTTATGATTCGGTTTTCTGCACTCTGACTTTCTCAGAACTGTTTTTAAAAAATGGTCATGTAGCAGGCACAGGCAGCTATTTGAGGTTATAATACCTCAAATCCCAAATATCATCTTGTGCAGTTTCTTTACCAGCATGGACATAAGCTAACAAGACATATCACACAAAGGTGGCTTAGGCAGGAGGTGTTCCATATTGCTAAGACTAGTGCTCCCTAATTATTCTTGCTGAGTGTGAATGAGCTGATAGACAAATACATAGGTAGTGCTGTATAAAGCTCTTATTAGTATGGGGCAAGCAGAGCCATCCATTATTTTTAAGTAATCATTGTCAAAGATGAGCAGATTCATAACTGCTGTTTCCTCACATAAGCTTTCTGTGGTTGCCCAGGCCTGGGACAAGGCTGTATGCATCTGAGAGGTGCTCCTGTACTGTGGCCAATCTCTTCTGTTTCAACTCAGTATAAACTGGCCAGAAAAAATGTGTTTCTATTTTGTGTTTCACATTGGATATTAGGAAAAATTTCTTCAAAAAGGTGGTGGGGCATTGGAACTGGCTGCCCAGGGAGGCAGTGTAGTCAGAGGTGTTCAGGAAACAGGTAGATGTGGCAGTGGCGGATGTGGTTTATTGGGCATGGTGGAGATGGGCTGACAGTTGCGACTAGACGATCTCAGTGATCATTTCCAGCCATAATGATTCTATGATTCTGTGATTCTACTTAGAGACAAGCAAGAAACAGGAAACTATGAATAAAGTTAAGGTCAGTTAAGAGCTCAACCTGCGTACCTTTGTCCAGCTTCCTGTATTGCAGGAATTTCTCTTTGCCTTTACATAGCTATAAATCTGTCGCAACTGTATCACTCCAGTTTATACCACATACAACCTGATGTTGCTTTCACGGTGTCAGAGAGGAGCTGAGATTGTCCTACGTGCTTGTGGAGATGCCACCAGCAGAAGGTCAATAGTTCACTAGCACCCTCAGTCTCTGAGGTGGGCAGCTAAGGGCTGCTGGCCCATATGGTGGCCACCATCTTGTACTGCACATCCCAGGCTCCACCAGTCCCTCAGTGTGACTGTAGTGGCACTCCATCCCTCCTCCTTGCTGTCAGTAGCTGTAAAACTCAGCTTGGCAGCCTGCAGTGGGTGGCTGAGCTGGCTGTTCCTTTCTGAAACTTTCTTCAGCCCACTGTTTTCTGTTTCTGATGGGCCCCAGAGCACAGTTTTTGTACAAATGAATACTTGTCATTTAAACAAGGTTCAGGGAAAGATCAGAGATGTGAAAGCCAAGCTGGGTCATGTAAAAGATGCTGAGAATAGGTCACAGGATAAGGGTGGAAATGTTCATTGAGTGTATGGACTGGAATCACTGCAGAGGGAAACATGCAGGGGAGCAAAATTTTGATG